ATTATTGATTTGTATCCTATTTAATAAAAGTACGTTTAAAATTAATTTACAAATTTTACTGTCGATAATCCTCCCTAAGTAGTTCACCATTGGTGGGTTGATCCAAATAGTTCACCTAATAGCTTTGCTATTACTTTGACAAATGATGAAAATTATGTGATGGTTGGGTAAAGATCTGTTGGTATTTACATTATTGACATTACTAACAAATTGAACCCTAAATTATTCCAAATAATTTCAGCTCCGTTTGATTCACTTAGTCTCATTTTATCTAAAGATTCATAGTAATAGTATCTTTATTATTCTAATGGAAATTCGCTACTAGCCTTTAAAAAATCTGAACCAAATTTAAATTTAGATGTACCTAATATATTGAATGTACAAAAATCGACTAGCGTCAATGCAGGAAACAGCAGATGGCGGTGGACTGGAGCTGTAGAAATAAATAATTAATTTCTCTTTTAGAGTTCTTAAGATTAAGGCTTGGCAATAATGGATTTGAGAGTGTCTCCTCAGCTTATGACTCCAGCATATTAAATACCAGTTAATATAAGTGGAACATCTGTAGATTCATTTTTTCTTTTTGGTAAGAACCAAATTTATTTAGCCGTGCCTATTTAAACTTAGACAACCATCATGAATATATATAACATAACAGATAGAACAAACCCTATTTTAATTTAATCTCTGCCATCTAATGACCCTTCTTATTCATATTCTATGGACATGAGCGATGATGAGACACTCTTTGTGTTTGATAACAATTTTAGCTTTGTTTTGTTTAATAGTACAACAATAGGTAAATTTACATAAATTAGCTAGTGGTAATTCTAAAATAGAGTATTTGGCAGTATTGCAAATGGATTGATTATTTCTCATGATAGTAATTATATTGTCGCTGTATATAGACGTAGAATTATTTGCGTTGTGGATATTTCAAATAAGAAAAACCCACAATTAGCTAATTATTTTAGAACCAATGGAGGAGAAAATATTATAAAAGCCAAATATGGGACTAATAAACAATATGCTTTTATAGTGTAAGGCTTGTATGGTATCGATGTAATAGACATGAATTCTCTTCCTCAACTAAATATTGTAAGCAGAGTTTAGATTTAGGGTTGTTCAAACTTTATTTCTCTTTTATAGAATAACACATATGCTTTAGTGAGTTAGCTAGATATTGGTTAAATTAGTTTGGTTAATTATACAGATATTACTCAACCAAAAGTAGTGAGCACATTCTAATATGTTAATGAGCATGCTACTTCTGTATGCGCTTCTCCTATAGATGACTACTTCTATATACTTAGCCAGAGTGGTCTGAGAACAGTACCACTAAAAAGCAACACATATATTCATACTGAAATATAATAAGTCTTAAATGCAAATACAGGTTCACCATAGCTTATTCATCTCAGTAAGTATTAGCCTTTGTTTGTTGGATAGCAAATTAACTATTAATTTCAGATTCTTCTTCCTACTCCTGGAATATAAATAACAAATGTTTATTACATAGAATATGGTCAATTATAAAGCTTGCCATATTGGATGAATTACAATCCTATTCAATAAACACTTTCTCTTAATATCGTTAAAGACTCTCTAGGTTAAAACTATGATACAAGTAAGAGAAATCAACTGATCTAAAATACAATCGTTTGTTTAATCAAATATTCCAGTCAT